GGCCCTCAGGGCGACGCTTTCTGTAAATTTGAGTGTTAGAATTAAACCATTGACTAGCCGTGCTTGCACAAATGACTGACCCAAGGCAGCGGAAACGAAAAAAAATCACATACCCAATAGGTGAGTTTAGACAGAATTGTAACTATTAGTTAGGACCCGCAAAAAACAGAATGTATATATATATATATATATTTTTTCTGTTCTGGAAACGAGACTATAGTTAAAAAAGGGGCTTGGAAATAGTGAAAATCGTTGGAAATAGTGAAAATCATCTTGTTGAATGAAGGTGGCGCCGAAGTTTGGTCGAAATTTCGAGCAAACTTCGGCGCCACTTCGTCGAAGTTTCAAGCGGCGAGCCGTCGAAGTTTGATCGAAGTTTTGGTGGTGATTTTCCAAGCGATTCTGACTGTGTATTGTTGCATGTCTATGTGTATACCGGTACACACGGCCAGAATCTTCTCGGGATAGCACGAACGGCAGACGAAGTTTGGTCGAAGTTTGCAGCCGGCCCAGGTCGAAATTTCGACTCGCCCTGTCTTTCCGGATAGTCAGAATCCCAGGAAATAGTCCCGTTTTGCAGAACCAGAAATATATATTTTCGGTTTTTAATGAAAATCAAAGCTTAGAAATAGTCAGAATTTATAGTCAGAATATGTTTTCACTAATAGCTAGGATTTCCACTATTTCGTAGAATCCTGGAATAGTTAGGATTCTGTCTAAACTCACCTATTGGGTAGGATTGTCGTCTAGAGATAAGAACTCGTACTGATTTTCATTCTTCAACACTCAAACCCAGACCCAGAACACCCTGAACCAGAAACCCTAAACCACTACATGAACGCAGAAACCCCGCACCCTCGGATGCCCTCACCAAGAAACCCTGAACACCTTAGCCCAGAACCAGAAACCTTAAACCTAGAAGCCCTAAACCATCCTAAACCCAACAACCCCTAAACCCTTGAACCCCTAATCCCTAAACCAAGAAAACCAAAACCTTAAACCGGTAAACTTCTGGAACATCCAGAAACCCTGCTACCAGAAACTCTCAACCCCACAAACCTCGAACCCATAAACCCCAAACCCCTCAAGCCAAGGTCTTCGGGAGGTAGAAGTTTGGAAACGGACACAACGGGGATCCCATCGCTCTGGGCCTGGCTCTGCTGTTCACTCTACTGCGTGATCCCCGTCGCTTTCCGGAGCAGGGCCCCGCAAATGTTGCCACGAGGATCCAAAGAAGCCCTAACCCAGAGACCCGTTATTGCTGAAACGACAATGCCGAAACGGATCTTCCCCCCCCCTTCTTCGGCAACCCAGGAAGATCCAAGACAGCCGACAGAAAGAAAGAAATATATATATATATACACTGGGAAGCGACGCTGTGCAGCAAAACTGACGCGGAAGCTGCGGTGATCTTCTAAACAGCAAAACGCCAGAGGAGGGGGAGGAGGAGGAGCACCCCTCCGCTGCCAAAATGTTGTGGTGTTTGGTGTTCGTACACTCCGGCGGTTGTTGCACGATTTCCGGAATCTCCTAGGCCACAACGGCCTGCTTGGCGCGGCGCCTCGATGCCGAAGGACAAGCCCACCTGCCCGTAGCCGTGGCTACCTTGCAGTGAGATCCGCGACAAATCTTTGCAGAGTGCTTGCTTCTTGTTCGCCGGGATGCCATCGAAGGCCCGGTTGCACCACGTCTGGTCACCTCGGAATTGATGCCCGGAAGCCGTTTGCAGTGGGCCGTGCCTTGATCGCCCAGTTGCCCAGCAAGAAATAGCCGCCGCACTTGGCCTCGTGAAGAAGGGACAGAAGGGGTGACAACGACCAATGGTTCTGCTTCGCCTCTGAGACGTCCTCCGTGGGCCTCGAGGGGTGCGGCACAAGTGCAGAGAGCTGAAATGTGAGAAAGGAATTCCTTAGTTGGGTCCCTGACGTCACTGCGCCCAGAATGCGCCGGCCGAGTTCTGTTCGCCACTCCGTCACACCTGAGAACACACAAGTCGCAATGCACCCCAACCAACTGACCGAGAGAGAGCGAGAGAGAGAGCTAGCGAGAGCGAGAGGGGGAGAATGAACAAACAAACCTAGAAACAACACAACGCATTAGCATAGACGTTGGGAATCAGGGATTGTTGCGGAAGCACGCGTGTTGTTTCATGATGCCAGTCTCTTCCCAACAAGCCTCAATAAGCACAACCGAACGAAACACTGTCTTCCACCCATCACTCGTCTTTGCCACGTCTGTTCTTTTTCCGTCTCACATGGCAAAGATCAAAGAGGCCTGACAGTGCTCAGGCAAAGATCACACAGTAGCGACGATTACGGGGCCTGCAGTCTGCAGGGGAGGCACAGGCTGTGCGGCGCAGGCAACATCTCGCCGTTTGCAGACTCTTGCAACGCCACGGATCATTCTTGAGTCGTGCACCAGTGTACGGCCAGAAAGGCGGAGGTGGGATGCAAGGTCTCCCCGGCCGCGAACCTGAGCTTCAGACGGGTCCAAAAGCGCAAAACGGTGGGTGATGCACCAGCTCCTGCTAGGAAAGGATGCTTTAGGTACTCAGGTTATGCACATCGCGGGGCTGGCACTGGCAGCATGGCTTAAGGCTCGCGCTCTGCGACTTGCCCTCTCCGAAGTAAGAGCACGGTTCCTGTGGCTACCAAGGTTCTCTGCACTGGAGCCTACAAGCACCGTGCCTCTTGCAGAACGGGGATCAACGGGTTCCCCAATGCCTTCTTCAGCTGAGGCTCCTGGCGGACCGACTGTATTTCCAATCTGTGCTGACCAGAACATCTATTGCGCAGGACATCGAAGGACACCAAGGCCTAAAGCCGGACGTCCCCACTTCTTTTCGTCTCGAGCTGCCCTTACGCTGCACTTCGGAGCAGTGTGATACCTTGACTGCCTCTTTGCATTGTTCGGACGCTTGACGTGCGAACGAAGCGGGCCGATGACTACACCCTGGAGATGTTGCACTCTCAGACCGTTCCGGTAGGATAGACCCGCGTGTAGGAAGTGGCATCGGTCCCGCGGTGCTCCTCGAGTTCAAAAATTGGCTTAATACTCACGTTGTGCGCACATTGCCTGCGCAGCCTACACCCAGAAGTTACCGTCTTTGAGGAGCTCGGCAATCTCGAGTCGGCCAGCTCGGGTGGACTCTTTGGCCGAGTCAGCGAGGGCAACTCGCAGCGGCGTCCTTCGGTGGTTTCTTACAGCTCGACCGCTGTCGGACTTGAACAAACCCGTCCTTCCGTGGTCGTCGATGGCATTTGGGTTACAGTCCCGACTGTCAAGCAGCATCTTGGCAATCTCTACGTGGCCCATGAGTGCCGCAATGTGCCTCAGACGGCTTGAACATGCAACGGGAACATGAGCAATCGCCCGCACTCAAGCAGCGCACGGGCCGTCTATGGAATGCAAAACTGCCGTCTTCAGGTACTTCTGCTACACCGCCCGATTGAAACAAGAAGGTAACAAAGGATCTGTCCCCACACGAAGCTTGTCCCGTCTGAGGACGCAGATGCATACTTGCGAAATGCTTGTCTTCGCTGCTTCGCCTCACTGTTAACTGTTAGCTGGGTTGCAAGCACGTTCTCCCAAAGTCGTCTTTGACGTTCGGGTTCTCTAAAGCATCCAGCCACATCTCGAACTCCTTGGTCTCGCCGTTCCTTGCAGGAGCCCTTATCGCAAGCGTGAAATTAGAAAGGCTAGAAAAAACATGTGACATAAGGCGGCAAAAGCAACTCGTTTCTGCTAGAATCTCAGCATGGAAGAACATTCGCAGGCGGGCATTCTCGTAGAAGGCTCGGGCCTTTGCCGCAGGATCCATGGCACATCCGTCTAGGACTTGGACGCCTTGAAAACGGCTGCGGAGCTGCACACTGCTCCTCCGGGGGCGAGATCCGGCTGTTGCAGCTGCTGCGGCTGCTCCGTGCCTCCTTGGCGAGCTGCTCCGGATCACCCACGCGAAATCTCAGGGCCCTGCGACCTGCGACACTACAAGAAGCAGCCGAAGTCTAACGAAGCCGAAGTCCTAGCGTTCTGGCCACGGTGCCTCGGTCGCACTGCACGTGATTGATGAGTTCCGTGCCGTCGCTTGGACTCGCAGAAACGAACATCGCCGCATCTCGCCGCTCATGCCACAGCCAGATCCATGCCTCTCACTTCCCTGGTACGGATGGATGCAGTACCTGATGCGGCAGCGGAAAGTTTGACGCATGTCCTGTCAGACAAGGCTATATACTCCTACACTGCTCCACGCGTCTTGACAAGTCTTGGATTGACACATTTCTCCAGAGCTGCAGAAAGGGGAGTGCAGGAGGAGGAGGAGGAGGTTTGAGTCGGCGCTTCGCTTGCGCCGAGGCACTCCACGGCACCTCCCACGAACTGAATGAGGAAACCAGGAAGCTGCTCGTCCTCGCATTTCAAGAGACTCTTGTCTGGAGAGAGAGAGGCAGCTCTGTGGCTGCAGGGGCCCAGATATCACACACATTTCGCTCTCACTCTCTTCACTCTGCCCTTCTTCTTTTTTTTGAGTGCGACACCTCCGCAAGCTTCTGGAAGCTGAGGACGTGCCTGCGACCACGCATACATGGCTATCACGGCTTCGAGGGACGAAGGACCCTTAGGCAGGGCACCTGTTGGAGCTGCAGTCCGCAGGGAAGGCCAAACGCGGCTCCGAGGAGGCTTCCGGGCTGTCGTCCGGATGAGCGCACTGCCGCCCTGCGCGCCGGAGAGCGGCGAGTGGACGCATCTGTCCGAGGGCCGGGCCGGCCAGGCCTAGCTGGAAGAGGTAGGTTCCTCCTTTCGCTTCGAAGTGGAGATTCTTGGCCTCGGCGGAAGAAGCGCAAGACTCAAGACGCGCAATCGCCCCACAATCTGGGGCCCTCTGCCGGTTCGTCGGCACAGTCCGAGAAGACGAGCCTGCCAGCGCGAAGTTGCGACGCATGTCTCAGTCCGGTGCCGGCTGAGCACCCCGCACCGTGGAATCCTCTCCTGTGACATCGTCCTGCGCCTTCACCTGAGCTGGGTCTTGCATCGGTTCTTCTGCAGCTCTCTCCCTCCAAGCACCCATGCAGGGCTGCAGACACACATGCCGCTCAGATGTACCAGCGTGGTGGAAGCCTCGCGGCTTCAATAACCACATCATAAGATCGACATGATCAGTGGCAACAAACCAGCGCCTTCGCGTATTGCTCGGCATGTGTGGGCCGCAAGTCGTCGAGCCTTAATCGCACCAGGAACAGACAAGCAGTACCCAGACCCGGAATGCAACCAAGCTTGAGGCGGCGCCACTGGCTGAGCGGGCGCCACTGGCTGTCTCACTTCCGGAAACTCCTACAGGCAGAGTCTCTGGCCGAAGGCCCCACTGACAACCCACGTTCCGCCCCGCGGCCTGCACGTATGTGCTTGGGGGCTCGTCGGGCCTGACTGAAGTGCAAAGACGCCAAGGAGTGGAGGCCGGCCTGGGCCCTCTTCATCGCTGAGCTCAGGGCGTCTGAACCGACTGCTGGGGAGATCGTGGGGGGAGTGTAGGCAACGGCCGGGGAGGCTCGGGCACTTCCTGGCACGAGGGCCACAACCAACATCTTCGAATCTACGAAGGACGAAGGAGACACCGATCTCAGGGCGCACGTCTGCGCAGTTTTTTTGAGGAGTTTCCAAGCTGCAGTTGCCAAAATATGGCAGCATCGACTGGAAACCTTGGCGTTCCAGATCTTGCGCCCGGTCTTGCAGAATCCGGACGTCCTCCGAGTTGAGGCCCTCCGAGGCCAACTGCCTCGTGAAAGGGTCGTCTTCGCGACCTTTCGTGTCCGGAAGGGCAATGCAGGAAGTGGAGAGGCCGCTGTGTGACATGGCGATGAGGGTCTCCAGGGGCTTGTTGGGGCAGGGGATGGAGCGCCTCAAGGCCTTGCACTTCTTCAAAGGATAGATCGCCTCTTTAAAGAGCACCGCCAAGCCGCCGTTGGCCTCTTGGAGCGGTCCCAGCTTGGGCGGAACCACGCAGCGCTCTCCAGTCCTCGCATCCACACCGGCCTGAAGGCCCTTCAAAAGGCCCTTCCCGCAGACCCGGTGTACAAAGACGTACGGTATCTGAGGCTCCCTGTGACTTAGGGTTACGTAGGACGTCACGTCGAGCATCATGTAGGGCGGGCCCGTGTGCACGCAGTACAGCAGATCCCGGCGCAGGGCGCCAGTTTCGAAGCTTTGGGCGCTTTGGGAGCTTTTCGTCCAGCAACGGTCCCAGCCTTTTTTCCTCAGCAAGGTCTCCACGGATCGCCCAAGTTCATCGAAGCTTGCCTCGTCCTCCACGCCGAGCATCACGTCGATGTCCTGGTCCACCACATCCTTCTTCTTCGACAAGCTGCCACTCCGCGCCCCGTGCCGCAGGAAAGCGATCAAGGTGCCCCTGCAGGGCCACCACTCCGCGTCGAGGGCCTCGAAAGTGTCGACGACATCAAAAAAGAATTTGTGGTACTCCTCGTCCGAGACGCTTTTCTCTCCTTCCATTCTGCTCCAGGCATCCTGGGAGTCGTAGACATCCTGCCAGAGCAAATCGTAGTAGCGCCCGACCCTCCGCCAGCCCTTCGCCAAGGGCCATTTCGACGACAGCTCGCTCCTGTCGCTCCTGTTCAGTCGCAGCTGCTCCCGAAGCCATTCTTGCAGCAGGTTGAACTCGAGGTTCAGCTGAGAAGCTTCGCTAAACTGTATGGCATGAACATCTGCGCTTTCGGCCGAACTTCTGTAGATGCTGACAAGCAGCCGCTCACTCTGAAGCAGCATGGCCTGCAAGACGGCAAAGGGGCAAACAGCAGCCACCTCCCTCTTTCTCGCCAGCAGCCTCTCGACCAAGCTATAATCGTTCAGCAGAGGATGCCCACTTTCATAGAAGCCCTCGGCCAATATCCGGAGCTCGTCAAAAGAGATCAGGTTAGGAGTGGTCCCAAAGCCAGTCCAAGTACAGCCCTCAAACCTCGGATGGTCGGATTAGGGGGTTACCTGAACCATGAACGAAACAATGATGAAGGTAGTTAGGGTGTTTGGGCTGCAATTAGACTCCAGAAGCCCCTATAAACGCAGGATGCTACAGTGGCAGCCAGGAATATCATTACCCCAAATGCAGAATCCGCGCGTAACTCATCTTCAACCCTATAAACTCTAGAGACCCTAACCAAACCCTAAACCCTGAAGCCTCAAACCCCCAAACCTTAAAGCATGCACCGTACACCCTGGTCGCCTTTTCCATAGGGCTTTTAGAACCTCTTCTGGAGTTGAGCTTTTCCCAAAGGGTCCTAAGTACCCATATGGTGGAATGTAGGGTTTCCGTATTAGGAATTTATATTATGATTTGGGAAAGTATCCCCTTTCGGTTTTCTATCCTAAACCCTAAACCCTAAACCCATAACAGTACCTAGGACCCTCTGGGTGTGCTACAGAAAAGGCGAAGAAAGAGGTTCAGAGCTTTGGTCGAGGGTTTCGGTTTAGGGCTTCGGGCTCAGGGTTCAGGGTTTAGGGTTTAGGATTTAGGCTCTCACAACTCGGACATTAGGGTTTAGGATTTGCGGTCTGTGATTTAGAACAAAACGAACTCCGAAGCGTGCACAACAGCTCAAAAGCTCAGCAGAGGGATAGGCTAGGGTTTAGGGTTTAGGGCTTAGGGTTTAGAGTTTTGACTGGGCGCAAAAGCGCACGTCTGACAAAGGCCGTTTGGCGAGTTGCCTGCACTCCCTCCAACAGCAACGCGGGCTGGTGACATCTCAACCCTAAGCCCTAAACCCTAAACATTAAACCCTAAACGCTAAACCCTAAACTCTATAACACCTAAACCCTAAACCTTGCGTGGTACTCGGGTGTCTACCTTACAAAGGCTGCCCTGAATTCTGTTAAATTTTCGGCACCACATCTATCGGGAAACCACTACCCATGGGGTCTAGGTGCCTCATGGTCATATACTCTCCCAGATGCTAGCCCACATAAGACCTGTCCTAAATCCGAATACCAATTCATTATGGGGTCCCATGGACCCTTATGGCTATGATAAGGATCACTCAGACTGGCACTCTAATGCCACAGACTACGGATTTGGTGTATGTTGTTGTGATATTATACTGCCTAAACCCTAAACCCTAAACCCCTAACCCTAAACCCTAAACCCCCGAACTAGATATCAAGACCGAAAACACTCGGACAAGAACTCCCCCAGACTAGTACCCAATAACGCCGCCCATGTCCACTGTCCCTTACCCTCAATTGACTCATAGCTTAAGGCTTTTGGGCCCAAAGACCCTATTATATAAGGCTTTTCGGCAATTTTGATGCTAAGGGTGTTTTCTAGTCTTGAGCAGAAGCAATGTCGAACGCCATGTACGGGAATGCCGCCCAAAATACTGGCCTACACTAACTTGACCGAGCTATGGAAAAGCCGTGAAATTTCTGCGAGGAAGGTCTAAGTGGCGCTTCTGTCAGTGTTGCGAAGCTGGGCCTCTGAGGCAGCAGCGACACCGCCAGGTCAGTAGGCACCTCTACAAGGAGCTGTGGTGTCTCGGCCAAGGCCGCGACCGCTAAGGTCCTCAGGAGCCAGATCATTGCGGAACGCTGGGAGGTGCTCATCTCCTCGTCATCCCCTCCTCCTTCCCTTGCGCCAAGTCTTTCCCCCTCAGTCCGTCAGTCACGTGGCACCTTTGCAGCTCCCCTCACAAACGGCAGCAGCATGTACAGGCAGTCGCTTTCAATGCTCCTAGCGAAAGCCCAAGCCCGTGCGACCGGTGAGTTGGAGCCCGAGCGCCGTGAGGAAACGATGAACTCAAAGGGACTTGACTGGTAAGATGCGAGTGACGGAGCTGCTGCTTCTGAGGGGGGGCCTCAAAACTGGACAAGCGCACACATCCGTCCCGTTCACGGCACGACATACGAGCGCTGCATGGGGTTCTACACCGACGCATCCAACCGAATCACCAAATTCTACCAGCTACGAATCGTACCGCCTGAATGTTGGACTTCTTGGATACGAAACACGCAAAAAAAGAGAACAAACGACTCGGGTTCTCGCTCGTATTCTGTTGGTTGGAGGAGAGGGGGGCGATTGGTTGCGAGTGAATGCACCAGAATCAGCTTGCATGACACCCTGCTTCATGCATGGCAGATGCAATACTCTCGTGATGCCATTCGAACACCCACAGCCCTGTCGCCGCTGTTGCCTGTCTTGCTCGTGCAGGCCCACTCCACCTGCGACGAATCCCATCGCTCCAAACTTCACTATCTCTGGAAGACCCTCCCCCGACTGGCGGTGCCGCGGCCGCAGCACTGTGAATTCGGGAAAGCTCTGCACGGGATAGACTTGGGTGCCCCGACACATCCCGGAAAAGGCCAACCACTCCAGCGGTGACCTTGGCTGATTCTGCTCAAGGTTTCCCTTGAGGATAGATCGGATAGATCCACAGACCCAACTCCACTCGCATAACACCAGCACTCAATTATACCTTGTTCGCAGGTCGACACGGAACCAATTCCGAATCAAAGAGCACATGACTTCTGCGTTTAGCCTTGTGCTGATAGGGCACATTTTCTGCTATGCGTTTCAGTGTTGATGCGCGGTGAATGGTCTCCGACCTAATGGCTGCCCCTGCGCTTCTCTCTGGCACGTGCTGTTTCCTGCGTAATCGCGAATCGCTTATTTGCGACACAAAGCTTGGCCAGCTCGTCAACCCCGGGTGCCGGTGCGGTTCGTCACGTCCTTGCCACATCTCTGCTATTCGAGTAGCATAGTCAGGTCTGCTAGTTGGCAAGCAAAGCTTTGCCTTCTGACATACCCAACATCCGAAGGCGCGTCGGTCTGTCGGTCTGGCCCTCCGTCCGTCCCTCCCTCCCTCCTTCCGTCTGTCTCTGTCGTCTCTGTCTGTCTTGGCTGGCTGGCTGGCCGGCTGGCCCGCTGTCTGTCTCTCTGTCTGCCTGTCTGTCTGTCCGTCCGTCCGTCAGGGTTATGGGCTAGGGGAACTCCTAGACAAACTCTCTCTGTCTGCCTGTCTGTCTGTCTGTCCGTCCGTCCGTCCGTCTGTCTCTCTCTCTCTCTCTCTGTCTGTCTGTCTGTCTGCCTGCCTGTCTGCCTGTCTGGCTGTCCGTAGGCTTTTCCAGGACCCCAGCGGTTGCCGACAGCAGGAAGCGCCCAAGGAAGGTGAGCGCACCTCAAGGGGCATGATTTCGCACTTTTTGTCATGCTCAGAGCTCGTGCCTGGATCATTCCCGGCCAGGCGCTTCTTGCCCATGTGCCAGATTGCAACTTCCCTCAAAGGGCTGGAATGGAATGTAAGGCTTCCTTCCACAGTATATGGAGCCTTTGCGGAGTGGAGTGTTTGACGCATGCCGAAGGCTTTTCAGACTGCGTTAGAATTATTGTTTCGGTACAGCCCATGATGCGTGAGCCTGCGGTTCGAAACAGCGGAATGAAGTGGTGACGGAGCTGCTCGGCGCTGCGAGAATGAGTGTGGGTCTTCCAGCTTGCAAGGTCGCTGAAGGTGATGCAAACGCTCCGTTTTCGGTCTGCATCAGATCCCAAAGATGATCGCAAGCACACCTAGGCCGTACGCCGCCGCAATCGACCATCGCTTGTCCCGAAGCCAGGGGGGAATGTCCTGCCAGAACCTGCAGTTGCCCGCTAAGAAGGCCCAGGCGGCCCAGGCGCGTGTCCGGGGCCCCCGGCTTGGAGAAGATGGCCGTGAGACCGCCGAAGGCGATCTAAGAGGCGATCTGAGACTCTGCGCATCTCGGCGCAGGGCGAGCGGCGGCTCAGCTTGCGGCCAAGCGCGTGACCTGCCGGCCTTGTGTCTCGATCGTGTGCTGCATGGCCCCGGACTGAACCTCCAGGGTTCGCCGCATGGCCTGAGCCGCGCAGCGCATCGCGCAGCTCTCACGCTCCTCGCGTCATTGCTCGGCTAGGCTCCAGGACCCGGGTCTGTTCTTCCAGGATGCGCCTCAGAGCGACGAGTGGCTCCAGCCCTCCGCCCTGTCCGGCCTTGTCAGGCTCTAGCTGGTGTTCTCGCATTGCAAAGAGAAGAATCTCGCGAGTCTCGGAATTCATGAGAGGCGTCGCCGCACCTTGAACAAAACAAACACAACAGCAGTCTTCGCATCTCCAATCGCGTTCAGAGCCGCAAGCGGACACCGGCAGAAACCCAAGCTTGAATGTCCTCCTCTGTTATGACATCCTGCAAGAGGAATGAAAAGAGTTTGTCATAGGCGGACCGGGATGGCAAGGGTTTCCGTGCCTTCGCCCTGGGCATAAACGAAGCCATGCGCCGCAAAGACCCTGACGCGGGACTTGGAGGACGCTTTCAGCCTGCAGTCGCCTGCAGGCTGTGGCTATATTGAACACTCCTTGAACATGCTGAAGGCTGAGGAAGGCTTCGTGGCAAAAGCTAAGCTTCTTTGGGGCACATGCAAGAACAGCGCACACGTCCTTACCTCGAAACGACTTGACCCACTGGGCCGTCTTTCTGACTCTCTCTGGCGCATGCAGTCACCTGAAAGCTGGTTGCTAGCTGCGCTGTTTAACAGCTCAGCTGCAGTTTGTGAAACGCGGACCACCGCATGTCCAAAAAAGCCCAAGGTTCTGCGAATTCGCCCACCTTAAACCCTAAACCCCATCATCATGAACACCTATGAGAGAAACCCGTCAGTTAGACAGCGAACCGGGCACTGCAATGGCCAGGCTCTCATCTCGTCGATCTTCGAGGGCCTTGGATCCTGCAAGAAGGCGAGCGCTGCAGCGAGATTTCTCTCTTTTTGGCAAACTATATACATATATATATATATACATATATATATATATATGCTCGCCCCCCCTCCCAAGATCTACGTCTGCAGGCTTCCGGAGTCTGGATCTCCTGATTTCCGGCTCTCTGCAGGACGTAGGTTTCCAGATTTGCAGGACCCCAGATTCCAGATTCCAGATTTCAAGATTTGTACGACCTAGGTTTCCAGATTCCAGAATTCCAGATTTGCACGACCTATGTTTCCAGATTCCAGATTTCTGGGAATCTGGAATCTGGAAACCTGGAATCCGGAAACATAGATCGTGCAAATCTGGAAATCTGGAATCTTGAAGCATAGGCCCTGCAAATCTGGAAATCTGGAATCTGGAGTCTCTGGAATCCAGATTCCAGATTCCAGATTTCTGGAAACCTGGAATCTGGAAACCTGGAATCCGGAAACATAAGTCTTGCAAAGCAAATCTGGAAATCTGCAATCTGGAAACATAGGTCCTGCAAATCTGGAACTCTGGAATCTGGAATCTCTGGAATCCAGATTCCAGATTCCAGATTTCTGGAAATCTGGAATCTGGAAACCTGGAATCC